AATCTCTTTCTAGACGGGCCTTGTTTCCAAATTGATACATATTATTTTGCTTTCAAATGACAGTAAGTACAAAGGATGTCTATTCTTGGATATTCTAAAGCATAATCTGAGCACACCTTTATCATCTGAGTGTATAAATATTTTGCATCAAAAAAAGGTGGGCTATTTCATATTCTTCTAAGGACGACCAAGGAATTTTCAATCTTGATAAGTAATGATGTGAAATACATTACAGAACAGTTAAAGAAATATTGTAATGTTACCAAAGAAAGAACAGGTATTAATCCATGTATGATCATCGGTAATTTTATTGATTTCGTTGAAGATGGAATAGACGTATTCTGAAACGTTTGAACCTTGTAAATAAAATGTTTTGTCAACCGTCTTCATCTTCCTTATGATAATTAAAGCTTTTAAAGTTATAACTGTGCAAACACTGAATTTCAGTAATCTGCACACTATTCTTCCTCTAAAGAAAGTTAAACAGTTCTTCAGCATCAATTCAAAGTCATTTAATAATTTGAATAAATTGATTTTTTTATACTAGGAAATAGGGCCATAGCCAAACTGAGGCAGAGGAGGCAGTTGCCTCTTTGCTTTTTCCCAAAAGTTGGGGGGCCTCTATAAGGAAAGTTGTAAGATTTGAAACAAACGAGACATCATCAAAAGGAAAGCAACTCCAATCAGCCAACGAAAGGGCTGCAAGTCATTCAACAGAGGGACTGCCAATCAGTCAACAAAAGAGCCCCAATCAGTTTTTCATTGCTCTGTACATTATCTATTATATAAAAAAAGCAAAGGGATTTTTAATCCGTTAAAAATGGACCCCAATCAGTTTTTAATTACTCTGTACATTATGGGTTATTTAAAAATTGTCATGCACATAGCCCCGAGTTCCATAGAAACAGCCCCCGAACCCCCGGCCGGGGTCCCGCTTAAAAGGATTAACCCTTTCACTGTGCAATTAATTTTCAGGTTGATTCCCAAAAAGTGTCAATTATCCACCAAAAAATAAAAGTATGAATTTGACCCTTTGTAAGAATACTGTAAGAAGCTGTATTTTCTATATCTTAAAGTAATATTCCTTGTTTGTTTGTTTGTTTTGAATTTCGCGCAAAGCTACACGAAGGCTATCTGCGCTAGCCGTCCCTAATTTAGCAGTGTAAGACTAGAGGGAAGGCAGCTAGTCATCACTACCCACTGCCAACTCTTGGGCTACTCTTTTACCAACGAATAGTGGGATTGACCGTCACATTATAACGTCCCCACGGCTGAAAGGGCGAGCATGTTTGGTGGGATGGGGATGCGAACCCGCGACCCGCAGATTGCGAGTCGAGCGTCCTAACCACCTGGCCATGCTGGGCCAATATTCCTTGAAGACCTTAATGATTAAAACAAAAAATTGAGGAAATCTAGAAGAAAAGTGTTCTCCAGTAAATGGCAGAAATATTGGCAAAACCAAGTCAGTAAGAGGCCCAAGTCATTAAAAAATATAAAACAAATTATTTAGATAACAATATCCAAGATACAAATGAGCTGTTTTTATAGAGATTCGATATGTGTTCCTGCAAATTTGGCAATTTTGTAGTGAGGCATATAAACATCCTGGTTTGACGGCGCAGAACACAGATGGCAGCACACACGCAGGTTTGGCGATTCTTTCAAGTACAGCATGTCTCAATAGAGGGATTTTTTTTTTTTTGGTAGCCGTGGGGTAAATCCGAATTTCGCAAATCAGTGAGTATAAATGTTTATTGGCAGCAAAAGGGTTAAAAGGGGCCCACTTCATACCCTATACTCAAAATAAAATTTTATAGTTATGCAATGTTATGCTGTAATTCTTATTTCCTGCGAAAAGGGGCCTTTATGTGCCAAAATTTAATTTCGAGTAAGGTCCCCTTCGAGAGTTTGCCTCCCCGCTCTTTCATCGCTGGATACGGCCCTGGTAAACACAAAACTTTCTATAACAATGCCACAGTTACTATGGTTACACATAAACTAAATTCCTACAGGCTATGAAATTTTTAACTGATAATACGTTTGTGCAATTTGGCCAATATCTCTTCAAACAGGAACATGGAATCCCAATGGAAGGTTGTTGCGGTACTCGCACTTCGCTTTCCCTTCTTATGTCCATCAAATTTATTTAGGTTGTACTTATTCCTATCTGGAATACTAATGTGAACATAACCAACTGCTGTTTCTCAAACCCACGTCTCTTTATTTCTTTTCATGCACATGTTTCCAGTATATCGGATTATAACGGTTCATAACCATTAAGTCTTGTAGCCTACATTTCAGTGAACTTAGAAAGGCATCCACTATACCCTCTCACTCCAATTACTTGCTAATGACTTAATGTATTGTAATCTCCCAATCCCTTAGAGACTGACCAAATGCCAGACTCTTTCTTACACTCTCAGAACTTCAACACATGTAACCTTACACCTAACTTTATAACAGAGGTAACTTTAGCCCACAAGTTGCTGATCTGAATTTATTTAGGCTAGAATTTTCCTGCATTACAAACCTTATTAGAATAGACTATAATAGAGTTTTGCATGCCATTCACGTTTCAGATAGTTTGTTTTGAATTTAGTGCAAAGCTACACGAGGGCTATCTGCTCTAGCCGTCCCTCATTTAGCAGTGTAAGACTAGAGGGAAGTCAGCTAGTCATCGCCACCCACCGCCAACTCTTTTACCAACGAATAGTGGGATTGACTGTCACATTATAACGCCCCCACGGCTGAAAGAGCGAGCAAGATGAATAGCTGCCTTCCCTCTAGTCTTACACTGCTAAATTAGAGACAGCTAGCGCAGATAGCCCTCGTGTAGTTTTGCGCGAAATTCAAAAACAAACCATGAGAAAGCTGATGCATCCAATCCGACTAGCCTTTTACAAGACATCTGGTAATAAATGTCACACTTAAAAATAATATAGAGAGGCACGTGTGCAGAGCCTCTTTGGTAAAGTGTAAAGTACATTGTTAAAGATAGAATCAGTTTCAAAAAAAGGAATATACATCAACGACTATGGATTAAAGGGGGTGTAGTGTTTATGGGTTCCTTAAATAAGGTATGACATTTTTTTATCTATTGTTACTTTCAATAATAATATTGGTATATTAATTACTATTTCGAATATAATTACATTTATTTAATTTCAATTTGTAATTCATGATCGAACTTCTATTTTAAAGGTTGAGTTGCATTGTTACCTAAGAACTTGTATTTAGGACCAACAGAAATCTCCTAAGGTAGCTGAAACTCGTGAGATATTATTGGGTTTAGGGCCGAAAATATCGTGAAATGCCAGGGTACCGAACTGACGAAATAAGGCATTATAATCTTTCTAAATAGGTGCGTAAAAAAGGTACATGTAATTAGTTATTCTGATGCTGGGTTAATTTTTAGTTTCGCAATAAGTACATAGCTTATTCTGATCGGAAATTATTGTTATTTATATAGATTTTCACATTCCTTTTCATTTGTTCACTACAATTTTCAGATCAGAGTTGTGTCTAAATAACATTTCAGATCTATATTGTGTCTCCTGCAAGTATTTTCTCAGAAGGACTATTTCATCATCGAAACGTTTTTAACAATTCTCAAATGTGCTGTTTTGTCGATCGTAATCCAACAACATCATCATGACCAAATTCAGCAACTTCAACCTCCTTTAGTTATAAGTATATTGTAAATACATAATTTCTGAGAACTAAAATATGAAGAAAAATGTTATTTATTTTTGTCTTCTAAAAAACAAACGAGCAGCTTATGATAAAAATATCTGACTTGCTTTCGTTGGCCAATTGATAATTCCAAGTTAATTGATAAGTTTGACTAAACCTCTTTTCACTCACTACCACATTTGTATATTAAAGGATATATTTAAAAAACATTATGTCCCCAGTGGCTCAGCGGTAGGTCTAAAAGCTTATAAGGCTAAAACTCAGGTTTCAATACCCATTGTGGGCATAACACAAATAGCCCATTGTGCAGCTTAATGCTTAAAAAAACAAATAAACAAATAATAAACTACTGGAAGTGAAGCTTATCAATTGGACCTAAATAAAAGCCAAGTGATTAATTTGTTAATTATTTAAATGAAAAGTGATGAATATTTTAGTGTTAATCGCACTCTATTAGAACGATATGCTAGTTTGATTGTTTTTATTTTTAAAGAATGTTGCTATTAGTTCAGTTGGTCATTTTGATGTTACATTTAAAATGTAGGCGAGACAATACATTTGAAAAATGGTCGATGTCAGAAAACAACAGTTATTAGTCTTCTATTATAAGTTGCACGAATAAACTTTATTATCTTCTATCATGATTTGAACTTGATCGTTATATTAGCATATTTAGTGGCACATTACAAGGAAAAATATGTTTCAACAATCGATAAAGTCTCTAAATGGACATTCGCAATGTATATTTGTATAATGATCAAAAATGGGCCCAAAACTAACGTAGTTTCTCTTCTACTTTGATAAGGTTTAGTAATAAAAACAACGTTTCAAAAATCATTTGATTCAATTGTGAATCGTTTGATCATTAAAGAAAAATAATGTCAAAAAGGTGGGCTTTAGTAAATGCTTCATCTAATTTATTTGTCCAAACGAGACTAATAAATAACAAAAAAAAACTGTATTCTGAATTTCGTTCAGTAGTTTAATCGTTTACTGATCGACTCTATAGACGACTAATGACATTTGAACAAATTGTCATTACCAAGTTGATGAGAACCATTAACGGTGAAGGTCAGGAATAACTAACTGCTGCATATTTACATTTATACTTGTCTTTGTAATCACAAAGTTGAAGTTGAACAGAAGTACTATATTATATATATATATCTTGAACAAAGGTTATTCATTCTCTACAGTACACTCGAACTCGGAAGTTCTGGAAGATGATCTGCTTTCAATGGATACTAGTTTTGATTTTAGGCTTAGGTATTAATTCGGAGTTCGTTTTCGAAACTAGAATAACAGCCATGTTTCTCAACCGATCAGTAACAGATACGTCGTCAGGCTTCGACTTTAAAATTTTTAAACCAGCTACTGAAATCGCTGTGGAAAAAGTTCAGAAAATGTATCCCCACATTAAATTCACCACCCGCTATGTGGGAGGATATAGCAGTTGTTCAGGACGGGAAGCTATTCCAGCTGCGGCAATTGCGGCAAAAGAAGTACTCGAGCATGGTACAAGAGCATTCATGGGTCCAGTCTGTACCTTTCCACTTTTAACAGTTGGAAGAATGACATCGTATTGGAACATTCCTATATGCACTGCTAGCGGTTCTGGTGGAGCTCTTGGCGATAAAACAATTTTTTCTACGTTAATTCGAGTTGGGTATAACGTTGAAACAGTTGCCGTTGCCACGTTCAAGTTACTACAGCATTTTCTATGGTATCACGTGTGTCTGATGTCTGATGTCAGTATTGATATTGAAGTATACTACAGAGAAGCACTGCAGCTTGAGATCTTTGAAAGGGAAAATAATTTCACAACAAATATTGAATTATTTGATTCAAGATCTCCAGATTTCAACATCGCTAAACATTTGAAAGGGTGTAGTCAAGTTGCACGTGGTAAGTGTTAAACATCATCTCCCAGATGGCTTCAGTTATGTCCCTTAGATCAGATCAGATTTGATTCTGATTGTAGACGCACACACACACACACACATATATATATATATATACATGTGTAAGATATCAACTATCGGCTTATAATTTCCATAGTACGCCTACTAAAGATAACATGACAATACTATACGTGTTTAATTAAGTACCGTCTAAATATAACATTCACTACAATATACATAAGAAATATTGTTGTAGTATTCCTTTGTGAACAATTCATTTCAAATTGTTTGGATGATGTGCGTAACTGAAAGTTTTTAAACAATCAATGAGTTTGAAAATCTAGATTTTTTTATGGCGTTTAACATCCAATAACATATTTCACATAGATTGATTAAAATTTCGGATTAAATATTTTGTAAATTTTCTACATGAGATTGTAGATAATTGAACATTTTTCAGAGATTTCCATGACTATACATGTATTATGTAAAAATACTAATAACTTATAATCGATCTTTTATGGGGATGACTTTAATGATACATATTAGAAGGAAAGTTTCGTCTATAAGTTATGTTCATTTAGTAATCTTCTTAATTAAACATAATATTTCTAAATAGTGTTGATACTGATGACGTCACATGCCGTTGCTACTGACATTCTCACCACTGCTTATCATCTTGGAATGGGGAACGGAGAGTTCGTCTTCTTGGTTAGAGAACTTGTAAGCAAAAAGGTCGAGTTAGGACACTTGCAAGAGAACTATGATGTCAATCCAGAATCTCGGGTAACATTTGTTTCTTTCTAAAATGTTTCATGCTTGTATCGCCTGCCTTTGAGTGGTTGTCATTATCAACAAAGTCGATGTATAATGTCTTAAAAGACAAAGTATCACAATTAAGATTGGATATTTTGTTTTGCTAATTAGATTATCTCTTAGATAAATATTTCCTAATCCTCCAGGAGAACTGGAAAATTTAATGAATAGTATTCCAGATTAAGCATAACAAAAATGAGCCTTATACTCTTCTTTAAACAACAATATGTGCATCTATATAGTATACAGATAAGCTATTTTAAAAGCGACAGGGTGAAATTTTAGGTTTATAGTAAAGCATGCCAAAGTAATTTTGTAAAGTGTATGTCATTCAATGAAAAACAGCTTGGCTGTAAAAAAAAAAAAAAAGCGAGGCCAAGAAAAATAATTTATTGTTATACAAACAGCGAAGATTGCTGCCAAGGCAATCAATATTATTGGATACATAGTTTAAAATTGATTCCAAAAAAAATGTTTGATTTCGTTTTGAATTTCGCGCAAAGCTACACGAGGGCTATCTGCTCTAGCCGTCCCTCATTTAGCAGTGTAAGACTAGAGGGAAGGCAGCTAGTCATCACCACCCATCCCCAACTTTTGGGATACTCTTTTATCAACGAATAATGGGATTGACCGTCATATTATAACGTTTCCACGGCTGAAAGGGGAGCATGTTTGGTGGGACGGGGACGGTGGTTAGGGCGATTAACTCTCAAGATGTGGGTTAGAATCCAATCACCAAACATGCTCGCCCTCTCAGCCGTAGGGCATTATAATTCGATTAGAGTAACCTAGGAGTTGGTGGTGCTGGCAAGTTGCCTTCCCTCTAATCTATTACTTTTAAATTAGGGGTGATTAGCGCAGATAGTCATCGAATAGATTTGCGCGAACTTCACAAAGAAAAGAAAGAGGTTGATTCACGTGACTTCTTGATATACAGAGAGATCATTCGATACTCTATGATATAACGGTCTCAGATTCTGAATGCATCAAATGAACCTACCTCAATAAGGTGAAGTTGTATGTACATTAAAGTCCGGTTACTGACCATGGATATCTTATCTAAAGTAATCTAAAGTTACACAACTTTTTCACACAACTTTCAGGGTATCATCAGACATGGGCCAAAATTGTGCTGTCATTACTTGTTCCACTGGCAGCATCAGTAGTCTGTGAATAGTTAACCCATTAATATTAAATGCAGCAATACCTGTGGGTGCTGCAACGGTAACATCTTTACCAGTTGCTGATTGAACCCATGCTTTAACAGTTGAAAACCATCAGTTGGTCCTCATTCATCATTTCCAATCGTCTTATTCACATCTACTTGTTCACCATGGTGAATGACACCTTCAAATTCTACCATGCCCACGTGTGCCTCAGTATTAACATAGTGCAGTGGGCCACCAACAGGAGGGTTACTGCTTTGCTGATCTTCATCTCCCATCTCCACTCAACCTTTTTGAACTAATTCGTGTATTTCAACTTGCTGCAAACAAGACAATTGGTGATGGTATTTCAAACCACCCAACAGGCTATTTTTAAAATCATTAAATGCCTTGATGTAATTAAAGCAATCTCCCATAAATTTATTATATTCTCTCCAGGGTTTAAACAACAACAACAACATGGAATAAAAGTATTTCTCCAGTCCTTGTTGTGTGTTATATTTGTAACAGTTGATTATGTATGGTCATATAGAAACTCATATAGACTAGTATCCTCAAGCTCAGGTAATCTGTTGATAAGTATCAATCCAAGAATGCTATAATATATCTTTAGGATCCTCAGGCAACCCAGTTAACTCTACAACTGTGGATCAACTTTACGTCAACCCATCACAACACAGCAACTAGATCTGTGCCATACAGCGGTAAGCCAAATAACGTGTCATTAGCTTCCATAGTACCATATTCTCGATGAGAAAGGCTCCTTAATGCAACATTCTTTAAACGACTAGCTAGTGATTTGGTGGAGGTTAGTATTGCAACAACTTTTTTTTTCTGTTTTAGTTGTGTACTTTGTAATATACTAACTTAGAATCGCCAACATCTCTCCTATAGTGATCACATATCATACGCTTATTATCTTCGTATAGAAGATCATATCAGCTTGAGCTGGCAATCAACGCTTTCCTTCCGACTACCGATTCAACAACACTTCAAAGATACAGTTTTTCCCTTTTAAGTTTTAGAAAACCAAATCAACAAACTTTTCTAATACCAGATTTGGTTTTCTTTTATCTTAAGCAATAATTGTTGCAATGGTGATACTGGTATGTTGATACTCTTTCATGCAATATTGAACCTAAGCTTTTATCTGGAATCTGGCAAGTAACATATCTCAAAATAAATGCGACAGTTTTTTCATCTGTGTTTTCTCCAATCACAGGAGCATCATCTATCTAAAGCTGTAGGTAAAAGTGTTGTAATCCACGTCCTTGGTATTCTCGTCTCCAAAAATAGTAGATGACTGTACCAATACGAGTATAACTTGATGTAAAGAGTTTTATGAATCCTCTAAACTTGTTATCGATAAATATAGAGGCTGATATTAGATCACCTGTAACCAGTCTTGTATATAGATGAGCCATTTCAGAAGGATTAATCTTACGTAAATATTAACCCAAATCATCCCCATTCACTCAGCAGGACTCAGAGTAAGAAACCAAGTAGCTAGACCATAATGCAGAGTCATTACATTTAGGTTGTTTCGAGGTTGTGCCCAATACTGCTTACTCTTTCGTAAGCAAGCAAACATAATGGTCAAATCCCCTTCAACCTCTTGATTTTCTAACATTTCTAAGTACCACCCGACTTTCAACTTATCATGAACGTGAATAAATTTTAATTTGTGAAAGATTCCATTATTTAGCTGATGTATGGTGGTGTGATGAAGATGGTAGAAAAGATATTGCTGATATAATTTAAATCGTGCAATGCACAACTGCATTATAGTTTTAACATAATCTGAATCACCAAGCTTCACTTCTCTTGGTTGATGTTTCCCACTGTAACCATATGAGAAAAGGTCAGGGAAACACAATAAATCTAAATGCTTGCAGCATGAATTTAGGGAAGGTTCATTAATACGTAGCATTTGGTAAAGACTAGTTACCATTTCATTCTCCCTAGGACCATGTAGTGTTTATATAGTATAGTTTTCATACACCTCTATTTTCTCTTCTTGTGCAATTCTTCAGACCATGGGATTTCTGTCAAAAAGCTGCTCACACTTTACTGCAGCGTCATTCTCCTGGTTTATGGCAATTGTAGCTTCATTATTATCAATGTTGAGTTCTGTGTTAACAAATTCGGTTATTCTTTGGTCTAATCCTGACGCTGATGCTTTTAAATTAAGTTTATGATACAATTTATTGATTTTTTTCAACTTGAAAAAAAGACCCAATAAACCTTATGATTGTCAATTATCCTGAAAAACTACATTTTTTCGATTAGATAACAACAATAAAAATGCTCTGGAATAGGTTCTTCAGGCTTGAGTAGCCTTTTTAATGTATGTTTCAAGGGCAAAAGGAGATGAAAAGTTGAACCCCACACCTTGCTGACAATGTGGCTAGGAGGCAATCATTTTTTAGCCACAGTCCTCATTTTGATTACAACCTGGAAGGTTTTTGCCAAATGAATCAATACTTTTTTCATATTGAATGAGCTGGACAATTTCTGTAGGAACAGAGTCAAATGTTAAACCATTTATCATGCAGTGAGGTGAAAGTATTCCTACACAGAATTTCTCTATACAGTACCTACAGATGTATCCTGTAGGCATCCCATCATCAGGAGGAGGATGTTGTTCTATATACTTCAGCAGCCATCCCAAGCATCACCAGCAATCAGTCATTTGCAGCGATCCAGTTATACACATTCACATTTGTAACAGAGCTTGTTACATGACATGCAAGGATACTCAGCATAGTCTGAACACTTCTTTTGATACAATATAAAAGCTGTATTGAAGGTTTCAAGAATTTTACTTCCATCCAAAACTTCGTACAGTACAACACAATGTTTTTTACTTACCTTCTGTTATTTTGAAAGTTCCTACCATCCACATACTTCACCTTTATATAGCACATGGTCAATGCCTACAATTTTGTAATGAGCCCTTCTGACACTGTATAATATATTGATTATTTTCCTGATGTTAGGATAATGAGGAGCTAGACGAAGTAAAAATAGCAATTTAGAGCCACAAGCATTTGAATCAGGGTGGCATTGTTTGTTGTACCCTTGTAGATGTGGATAATGCATATCTAACTGTGTGCAATCATCCTTCTGCTGAACATATCTTCTGGCTGCTAATGGAGTACACTTACGAATGTTAGTTAATATGGTGTAGAGATCTTCAGCTACTTCAGGTATAGAAATTTTGCACAATTCAGAACAAATCTAAGTAGCAGCTCCACTCCCACAAGCACCCTTGTTGTATAAAGGAAATTTACTCTAAAGAACATTTCCATCTTTGCATCTTTGTCAAAAACAGCACTGAAATAAGAAGTTTCTGGAAAAAATAGACTAGGTATTAGAAGTGTGTAAGCTTTCTCCACACAAACTTTTATATTTATTATTGTTAGAAGTTGTTTCATATGCCTTGCACAATGACGTCAACACCACATTCCCTAATTGTTGAAACTTTTTAATGAATTCACACTTTTAAGTCTCCCTCGATATTGCAATAAAGATTTTAACAAATGCTGTGCTGCAAGATGTTTACGTACAAAGGTTTTATCAGCCATCTTTCTTACTAACTTAGCTACATACCTGTTGTGTATGAATGTAAAGTATTGTGAATCCTATTATATTTCTGACAAATCGAATCCGTAACTAATTTCGTGATTGGACGATTGTCTAACAATTTTTCACTTGATCTTATATACATCTCTCGTTTCTTGTCTTTACTAATCTCGTTTGTTGTGCATGGCCAGGTGATTAGGGCGCTCGATTCGCAGTCTGCGGGTCGCGGGTTCGAATAGC